GACTGTGTTCAGGCCCTATGGCTGGGTGCCAGGGGCCCGAGTGTCTGCGCTGCTTCTCTCAGAGTGTAATGAGAGGATCAATTCCTAAATGCATTAAAAAAAAAACCAGGAAATGGAATTCCAGGCACCAAACTGTGCTTTCTGCAGTTTCATTAAGTAGAAGAAATGAAACTGGATTCATTAAGAAGCTGGTGGTATAATATAGTGGCTAAGAACTCAGGCTCAGTAGCCAAAGTGCCTCAGTTCAAATCCTGGCTCCACCAGAATTTGGGGGCTATTGCGGAACCTCTCTTCAATTCAGTTTCCTCTGCCTGTAAAACGGGAGTAAGAACTGTAGATCTGCTCACGCGGTGGCTGTGAGGATTTAATGAGTTAGTATGCGGAAAACACTTAAAGCAGGGTCTAGCACATACTTAGTGCTCAGTATATATTAGCTGTTGTTATTATTTGGGATGTGCAACACATCAGACCAGATGTTTCTAACACAGATAGGACCAAGTTGATAGCAGAGAGTGATCTGGTTGTGATAATTTTCTCCGTACTCGTGGCCAAGCTTCATTCCCATCATCTGGCTGATGAAATCAATGTCCACTCACTCACTTGCTGGTCCACTAACATCCTCCCAAGGATTTCCAGCTAGAGGACGGAGTCTCAGAAGCAACTACTAGAAACTCCAGACCAGCTCTCCAGGTCCATGTGGAGATGAAGATGGGGTAGTCAGCTCCCTACTGGGAATTATTGATTCTGCCCATTATTTCAAGAGGTGTCATGTGTTTGTCTTATTGCTCTAATCATACATAGCTTCATTCCTGAAATCTTTACATGGTCTGTGATGGCTGTTAGATTTCCAGTCATTATATTTATGTTTAAAAATGTTTTCAGGCTGGGCGCGGTGGCTCACGCCTGTAATCCTAGCACTTTGGGAGGCTGAGACGGGCAGATCACCTGAGGTCAGGAGTTTGAGACTAGCCTGACTAACATGGAGAAACCCCATCTCTACCAAAAATACAAAAATTAGCCAGGTGTGGTGGTACTTGCCTGTAATCCCCGCTACTCAGGAGGCTGAGGCAAGAGAATTGCTTGAACCCGGGAGACAGAGGTTGTGGTGAGCCGAGATTGTGCCATTGCACTCCAGCCTGGGCAACAAAGAGCAAAACTCTGTCTAAAAAAAAAAAAAAAAAAAAAAAAAAAATTTCAGCCCGGCACAGTGGTGGTACATGCCTGTAATCCCAGCACTTTGGGAGTCTGAGGCAGGTGGATCACCTGAAGTCAGGAATTCGAGACCAGCCTGACCAACATGGTGAAACCTCCTCTCTAGTAAAAGTACAAAAAATTAGCCAGGTGTGGTGATGGGCGCCTGGAATCCTAGCTACTTGAGAAGCTGAGGCAGGAGAATTGCTTGAATCCAAGAGGCAGAGGTTGCAGTGAGCAGAGATCATGCCACTGCACTCCAGCTTGGGCAACAAGAGTGAAACTCCATCTAAAAAAAAAAAAAATTTTTTTTCTAAATGACTTAGACAATCTGGGTAAATTAAGGAAAAGGTCCTCATATTGGACATTTATGTTTAGCCAATTAAAAAAAAATTTTTTTTTTTGAGCTGGAGTCTTGCTCTCTTGTCCAAGCTGGAGTGCATGGCATGATCTTGCTCACTGCAACCTTTGCCTTCTGGGTTCAAGCAATTCTCCTGCCTCAGCCTTCTGAGTAGCTGGGACTACAGGTGGGTGTGACCACATCCAGCTAATTTTTGTATTTTTAGTAGAGATGGGATTTTACCATGTTGGTCAGGCTGGTCTTGAACTCCTGACCCCAAGTGATCCACCAATCTTGGCCTCCCAAAGTGCTGGGACTGCAGGCATGAGCCACCGTGCCTGGCCTAGTCAATATTTCTAATCATACTTTAAAAATAAGTGCTTTTGCAAAATTACGACAGTAAAAAAAAATCTGACATAGCTGACTCCATCTTGCTTCTAACCTGTAAGCTGTCCTTGTTCATTCTTGGGTGTAGGCCAAGTCTAACTTTGGGAGGTATTTAGTTCATAGTCTAACCCTAAAGCAAGGATTGTAATAGCCCTTTCTGAAACTATTCCCTCCTCCTTTGAATACCAAATCACCTTTGTAGAATTAATGAAAGGTCACAGGACGAAGAGGGGTCTGAACTTTGCTAAGATGAAGGCATAGTTAAAAACCTGCCATTGTTTTGTAGAGGTCACAAGATTTGTAACCTCCCTGATCACTCCTATAGATAACGCTACTATTGTACAACTTAAGATTTGTGTTTGAGGTATTTTTCATACTCTGTGTTCTGATGAACCAGCTGCCACTGCTCAGTATAGTAAACTGGCTTATCAGGTCCTGTGGCCCATACTCAGGAACTGATTCAGTGCAAGAAGACAAACTTTGACTCTGTATGATTTCATCCCCGACCCAACCTATCAGCATTCCTCATTCCTTAGCCCCCTGCCCACCAAACTATCCTTAAAAGAACCTTAGGCACCCGCTATACCCTCTTCCAACTGTATCTTGCTTCCTTTCCCTTCAGAAAAAAAAAAAAAAGAAAAAAAAAAAACTTAGGCTCTGAATTTTTAGGGAGATTGATTTGAGTAATGACGAAACTGCTGTCCTCCAGCTTGGCTGGCTCTACAATCGTTAAACACTTCCTCTATTGCAAAAACCTGCATTAGCTTTTCTGGGTAACAAGCAAGATGAACCTGCTGGCCATTGCAAACATATTTCAAATACGTTTGGCCAATTTATTATGTATTTTTCAAATTGTTTTTCAAATGTAAAGACGTTTTCCTCTCTAAAGATAATTCTGCAGGTACCTTTTCTCTATTTGCTGTCCTAGGGTAGGTCAAGGAAAGCTTTCTGGAAGAAGTGACTTGTAATTCATAACTTCATGGGTGAGAAACACAAACCAGGTGAAGAGAGCAGGGAATGGTGTTGCCTGCAGGGGGAACAGCACATGCTTCATCTCTCTTTCATGATATTGTGTCTACTTTCAGCCCATCTGCTCCACTCACCTCTTGCTACTGCCTTGGACATTTTTGATGACATATGACTGGCTGGCTCCTGTCCCATCCTGGCCTGGACTATTCCTTTTAGCTTAATTCCTTCCCCCACTTGAACTGGTCCATCTCAAGTGTCTAATTTTTTAGTCAAGGTGAGAATTTGTTGTGCTAGCTCCTCCAGCTATGGGTTGGCTGCATAATGGTGGCATAGGTTAGATAATATGAAATAAAATGATGACACTTTTAGCAGGAGCTTAGGGTGGCAGTCTCCAATAAAAAGTCATGTTGTTTTGGCACATAATGACTGACATTTACAGTTTGGTATGCACCTACCTTCCCACCTTGTCTGTATGTCAATGCAGGACTCAATGAACACTCATATATCATCAGTCTATCAGCTAGCTTGGGCAAAGGTATGGTGTGGTAAAAAATAATGCTAGGTCAGATGTGGTGGCTCATGCCTGTAATCCCAGCACTTTGGGAGGCTGAGGTGGGCAGATTACCTGAGGTTGGGAGTTTGAGACCAGCCTCATGAACATGGAGAAACCCTGTCTCTACTAAAAATACAAAATTAGCCAGGTATGGTGGTGCATGCCTGTAATTGCAGCTACTCGGGATGCTGAGGCAGGAGAATTGCTTGAACCCTGAAGGCAGAGGTTGTGGTGAGCCGAGATGCACCATTGCACTCCAGTCTGGGAAAAGAGAAACACTCTGTCTCAAAAAAACAAAAACAAAAACAAAACTCAATGGCTTTGAACAAACACTTTGTGCATGTTACATGGCCAACACTAACTGGCTTAGGCCATGTATTCCATGCCTTCTCAGTCCAGGACACAAGCTTAAGAAGAGCCCTTATCTGGGACATGCTGCTCTCCTGGTATAAAGAAAAGAGGAAGATGGTGGAACCACGTGACAGCTCTTAAAGCTTATGTTTGGGAGGGGCATCCATTACTTCTCTTCACATTCCATTGCTCAAAGCAATTCCGTGGCCAAGCCTGAGGTCCATGTGGAGGAAGGATACTTCTTCTATAGGAAGCAGCAGTAAATATTTTGAACAAATGAACGTTCTTGCAGTTTATCAAAACCAGTATCATTTGTCCCATGCTGCAGGTGAGAAAACCAAGCTGAAGAAGGTAATTTGATCAAGGTCACAGATTAGAATTCAGTTGTGAATGGCTGCAGAGTTGGTCCATGCAATCTCTCTTCAGATTTTTCCTTCAACACGGTGTAGGCACATAGAATTGTAATTTACTTGGGGACACAATCACTTCTCTTCAGCTCCAGAAGCTTCTCCGTGAAAATCTCTAGAGCTAAACCACCCGTGAAATATTCCTGGAAGGATGTGAAGCTAGAAAGGGGTCAAGCTCGGGGAACTGCCCCCTTGGGAGCTGACTCTTTCATTCAGGACTTTTTTTTAACTGTTGAAGTATTTATCTGCTTCATAGCTTTGTAGATCCTTTGGACTGGGATCACCTATCATCTACCACCTTTTGTTTTGTCTGTGTGAGAGAGAGTCTGAGCTCCTCAAAGCTTTTTTCTAGGTAGTTTTTGGTATTTCAGATTGCAATGGATATCTATATTAACAAAAATTATTAGTGGGGTGGAAAGAGTATCTTTAGGTGGGAAGAGGGGCACAGAAGTTACAGCCAACACAGAGAATCCTTCGATGTTTGTAAATATCTGTTAATTTCCGTTGCCTCCCCCACAGTTTTCCCGGTTTCAGAGCTTCTGCTCCCAGGTGCATGTGCCGTGTGATAACAATGGGTAGATTTTGACTTGCCAGGTTTAAGCGTGTCATTCAGGGCAGGGGATTAGGCTCAGGCCAGTGAGTTACCTAGGACACTCAATTTAAGGAGGCACTCGCACAAACCTGAGAGTTCGCCTCACCCCAGCCCAGCCCAGTGTCTGCTAAGCATTTATCATAACCCTGCTGCATGAAAATGCCTGGCGAGCTTACCTGTGAGGATCACCTGCCACTCCCCTCCTCCGCCAGACGACGCAGAGGGCCTCCCTGTCCTGTGACTTTGCTTTGCCAGTGATGATTTCCAGGTTACTGTGTAGGAGCGTCTGGCCCACGATCGTGTGCGGAAGACCGAGAGAGGGAGTGTGCGTGTGAGCCACTCAGGCCGGGCGGGTCCATATCCGGGGGTGGGAGGGGCCGCCCCTCCCTCCAGGTCCCGAGGTGGATAGGGGGTGGGGAGTGACGCGCAGAGATTCCCTTTCGTCCCTTCGGATCCTGAGAGGGTGGCAGAAGGAATGCGAGGGTGACTCGGCGTGGATTTAGGGCGTGCCCACCTTGCAGATCGGCCTCCTAGAGTGTCCCCAGGGCCTGAGACGCCGCGGGGACAAGGAAGAAGAGGAGGAGGAACCCGAAAAGGGCTCGCCTAGCCTGCCACCGGCTCCGAACTTGCCCGAGAAACTAGTGCGGAGGGAGGGGCCGGCCCTGGCCGCGGCGGGAGGAGGGGCGGTTGCAGCTGCATCCAGCCCCGTTGGCTTCCTTCCCGGCTCTCCTTCGCCTCCTCCTCCTTTTCCTCCTGTATGAGTCAGGCATTTCCCGGGGATTTGGAGCAGCCACGCGCGGCCCGGGCGCACGGAGCTGTAGCAGCCGCCGCCGCCGCCGCCGCTGCTGCCGCCGTGCCGCGGCCGCTACCGCGGCGAGCACCCGCGTCCCGGGCGCGCACGGATCATGGAGAGGGCGGCCCAGGGCGCAGACGGCGGCGGGGGCAGCAACAGCAGCAGCCGCAGCAGCAGCCGTGCCACCTCGGCGGGCTCCTCGCCCTCCTGCTCCTTGGCGGGCCGAGGGGTCTCCAGCCGGTCGGCGGCGGCCGGGCTTGGTGGCGGGGGCAGCCGCAGCAGCCCGGGCTCGGTGGCCGCTAGCCCGTCCGGAGGAGGCGGCCGCAGGAGGGAGCCGGCGCTCGAGGGCGTGCTCAGCAAATACACCAACCTCCTCCAGGGCTGGCAGAACAGGTAACGCGCCAGCCGCCCGCGCCACTGCGCGCCCCGCCTCGCGCGCCGCTGTGTGTTTGTGTGTGTGTGTGTGTGTGTGTGTGTGTGTGTGTGTGTGTGTGTGTGTGTGTCTGTTCGCGCGCGCGCGCGCGATTGTGCCCTCAGCGAAACTGGTGATACCTCCGTACGGTGCCCTTCCTGCGTCCCTGCTCCCCTTCAGGTGGGGTGCCCAGGATGGGGCGCGCTGTGGCCCCACCCCGGGACCGCACCGCAGTAGCGGGGAGGGAGGCGAGAGCCCTGGTTTTCTTCTGTGCTGGCACCTGCAGAGACTGGAGTGGCAGGAGGAGCGTGCTGGTCTCGGTGCTCTGGTTGCCCGCGGTTTCCCACACCTCTGAAGAATGATTGGGAAAGGGAGGCAGAAGGGGCGTGCTTTGTGTCTGTGTTAAAAAGCGTTAGCACGTCTGCTTCGATGACAGCAGTTCTCTGCGTAACACAGTTCATTTTAAAGTTTGGTGCTTCCGAACACCACCACCATCAACAAAAATCTGCCACTTGTCATCCTGGGAGACCGTACACACCCCCGCCCCAGTTTGTGCCTTGCAACCACCGATCTCTGTAATGGAAGTTTTGCTTAAAAAGAGAAGGAGACTGGGCGCAGTGGCTCACGCCTATAATCCCAGCACTTTGGGAGGCCGAGGCGGGCGGATCACGAGGTCAGGGGTTCGAGACCAGCCCTGCCAACATAGTGAAATCCCGTCTCTACTAAGAATACAAAAAATTAGCCGGGCGTGGTGGCGGGTGCCTGTAATCCCAGCTACTCGGAGGCTGAGGCAGAAGAATCGCTTGAACCCGGTAGGTGGAGGTTGCAGCAGCCCAGGCGACAGTGTGACTCCAACTAAAAAAAAAACCCTCCTCCCTTTTAATATTAATAGCAGTTTACATTATTATCATTATTTCCTCTTCAGGTCCCTTTTGGAGTTTCCTGCTCACTTCCCCCTCACAGTTGAGAAGCCTAGTTATACACACGCGGAAGGATGGAGCTGGCGAGGAAGGGGCGTAGGAGACTTGGAATGGTTTGGAATGGTGGTAGTGCGTGTAAGATCTGCCATCGTGAGGAAGACAGGGACAGATGTGGCACTGCTGTTTACTGTTTTTTTGTTTTTGTTTTTGTTTTTGTTTTAAATTGTTTTTCAAAAGCAAGCCAGAGGGAAATACAAATGTCCCATGAGAGGAGAACAATGCTTTTTGGAGATGTGGTTGGTGGGATATTTTGTTCTGCTTATTTAATGGTCCCCAGATTTTAATAGACTTGGGGCTTTTAAGGATGTTTGTGAGATTTAAATCATACCCTGGAAAGTTGCTTATCTCTGCTGTGTGGACTGCTTACTTGGTTATTTCTTCCTGTAGATTGTTGGGAAATGTTCAGATTTGCTTCCATCCAAAACATATCAGGCAGTTATTTTATTTTTATTTTTATTTTTATTTTTTATTTTTTTTTGAGACGGAGTTTCGCTCTTGTTACCCAGTCTGGAGTGCAATGGCACCATCTCGGCTCACCGCAACCTCCGCCTCCTGGGTTCAAGCAATTCTCCTGCCTCAGCCTCCTGAGTAGCTGGGATTACAGGCAAGCGCCACCATGCCCAGCTAATTTTTTGTATTTTTAGTAGAGACAGGGTTTCACCATGTTGACCAGGATGGTCTCGATCTCTCGACCTCGTGATCCACCCGCCTCGGCCTCCCAAAGTGCTGGGATTACAGGCTTGAGCCACCGTGCCCGGCCATCAGGCAGTTATTTACATGAAACTGAATTTGAAGGAAAAGGACTTTTGAAGTATGGAACAGTTGTTTCTGTATTGATATTCTACATACAGGACTTTCTGAGTCACCTGGGCTTCCTGGGAGATGTGTTACTATATTAGTGGAAGTTGCACTTAACTTTTGAATCCTTTTATTTCTCAAAATGGTCCTAGTGTCCGCTGTTGCCTCTCGCTTTCGCCTTTCAATTCGTGAAAGCTGAAAAAGAATAGGTAGAGTGCGTAGGTAGAGGGAGATAGGAGATGACTAAATCTGATTCCAGTTCTTGCTAATTATGTCTCATTAATGGCAACTCAAGGGATCTTGTCAGTGACAGCATTTTGTTGGTGTGTTGAGCAATCGCTTTTAATAGCCTTTTTTCAAGTAGATTATGAGGCCAACAGAGCTTTTACCCTGGATTTCAGTTATTTTATTATTTACTTTCTGGGGAACAATTTTTTTTTTTTACCTGCAATGTGTATTAAAGGATTTACTCTTTGGAGTGGACTTAGGAGGCACTGGAGTAACTTTCTTTTGCATTATTTTAAACCCATTTTGGTGTTTAGATTGGAGGTAAGATTGAGAAGAGGCATGCTTAATGACAGTAATACCTACGTGATTGCAGGCTACCTGGGTGAAATGTGGTGTTATGTACACTTCTGAGCATGCTTAAGTGATGTCTCACTTAAGTGAGACATTTGAGTTTGTTTACTGTGATTTATAGCTGCCAATGTTTGTTCTTACCACACCTGTTTTCCAAGTCTACCACTGACTCCGTAAGCATTGTCTATAATTGTTAACATCTCAGTGTCAGGGTTTCTGTTTCCCACATTGTGCTCTCTGAACGATGGCTGAGGGTCCATTAGTAGTTGGGAGAAGATTTACGATGACTCTGTGATTGCAAAATTCTCCCTTCTCGAAGGGTCTTATGAAGGGAGAGGTGGGTTAGTGAAAAGGAAGAGAGAAGAGGATAAAAATAGAGACTTTGAAAATGCATTCATTTGTTCAATTAATTTATCTATTCAGAGATTGTTTTATTGAGCACCTACTATGTGCCAGGTACTGTTCCAGGACCTGGAGCTACCACCTTCTCCTTGTCCAGGGAAATGCCTTAATGACAAGTAACCGGCTGATTCATGCTGCCTTTCCTTATGGGCCTCATGGCATCTTCCTTTGGCAGTTCTTTTCAAAGTGCCCACAGTTAATGACAAATCTATAGCTACCAAGTTCTTGGTTTGACCTCTCAGGCTGCTGTGCAATTCTAATGCTCTTCACCAGCTCCCAGGACTTAACACCGATCACCCACTAACAGTCTGTACCCTGGTATCCTCTTGCACGTCCTCAAGTGGCTGTAAAGCTTCTCTTTTAACGTTTGGCATCATATTCTGCCTTTATTTGTAGCCTCATCCTCATGCCCTTAGGAAGGCAGTTTGGGCCAGAACACGAAATAAATGAATAAAGAGACGTCACAGGAAAGAAAACAGCATGATCGGAACATGCTCAACTCAGGAGAGGAAGTTCAGGACATTCGACTCACACTCCCCGGATCAGAATGTGAAATACTTAGAATACGGGGAAAGCATGCATTAACGGCTTTCTGTAATTCATTATTACAGATATTTAAAGAAAATATTTCAGGCGTAATAACGTTGTATAGATTTACAGGATGGCCTTACAATGAATCCATGAAGTGGCAAGTGCTATGAGGATTAAAAAGAGGTGATGAGATAAAGGGAAGTATTTGCAGGAATAATTTTAAGGGTGAGTTTAGTGTCTTTACTGCTATCCACATTTTAATTTAGAGCACTCTCTTATTACCCATCTTTTTTTTTTTTTTTGAGACAGTCTTGTTCTGTCACCAGACTGGAATGCAATGGCATGATCTCGGCTCACTGCAACTTCCCACCTCCCTGCTTCAAGCAATTCTCCTGCCTCAGCCTCCTGAGCAGCTGGGACTGCAGGCACGCGCTACTATGCCAAGCTAATTTTTGTATTTGTAGTAGAGATGGGGTTTCACCACATTGGCCAGGATGGTCTCGATCTCTTGACCTCGTGATCTGCCCACCTCAGCCTCCCAAAGTGCTGGGATTACAGGCGTGAGCCACCGCGGCCAGCCTCATTAAACCCATCTTATCACTCACACACCCTGAACCCAGGGAAGAGTAGACCTCAAGAACTTGGGGAGGCAGATGACATAGCACCTCGGTGGCCAAGATGACAATTTCGGACTGGGTTCTGGTGGCCCAGAGGATTTTAGGAAGGGAAGTGACACTTACTAGGTCACCCCGGCAGCTGTGTAGAGATGAGATTTTCAAGGGGCCAAAGCATGAAGCTGGAAGACTAGTTAGGAGCCCACGTGAGTGGTCCAGGGAAGAGATGCTGGCAGCTTGGAGTGGCGGTCGGCAGAGCATTGCAGAGAAGGGATAGATCTGGTATGGAGAGGATGGAAATTGCTGATGAATTTGATGTGGCGGTGCGAGACGGGCAAGGATAACTCTTGATTTGTGGGCCTGAGACGCTGGGAGGTTGAGATGTCCTTCGTGGAGATGAGGATCACAGGAGAGGGATGTGTTTGTGGGGAGGGTGGCGCTTGGCCAAGAGTTCTGTTTGGACTGTGTTCAGTTTGAGTTGCCTACTGTGCCTTGTAAGAAACAGGCTGTATGGGCCGGGCCCGGTGGCTCACGCCTGTAATCCCAGCACTTTGGGAGGCTGAGGTGGGTGGATCACGAGGTCAAGAGATCGAGACCATCCTGATCAACATGGTGAAACCCCGTCTCTACTAAAAACACACAAAAACATTAGCTGGGCATGGTGGCACGCACCTGTGGTCCCAGCTACTCAGGAGGCTGAGGCGGAAGAATTGCTTGAACCCAGGAGGCGGAGGTTGCAGCAAGCCAAGATTGCACCGTTGCACTCCAGCCTGGTGACAGAGCAAGACTCTGTCTCAAAAAAAAAAGAAACTGGCTGCATGAACTCTCATTTGCCCTAAGGCAAACTTTACTGTCAAACCAAAATGGAACTATTTTGCTCATAATATCAAGTATTTGAGGAAATAATTTCTAATTGGACCCAGAAACTGTTAAATAGCTAAGGGTTTCCATCACCGTTCCCTTTATCTTATTTGGAGAAAAGAAGACACTGCGAATGTGGAATCCACCTCCAATTCTTTTTTCGGTGATTGGTGGGGTTGTAAGAACTCACTAAAATGCTCAGGGACACATCTTGGC